ACGGAACGTGTTCTATATAGATCTGAATCTTCACACATGTAGGCCTATGTAAATTAGAACAATAGTAGTACAAAATGAAATGCATGCCTTGTTGGGCCTCACAGTAATTTGAGCCATATAACGGAGGTAGAAATTTACAGATTTGGTTACTTGACTGATGTTGCTAGTCATGGTGAGAATCAGATAGTCATCAAGAATAACTCACAGATGTTTTACATTGGTAGAAGGATAAATAATGGAGCTATAAATTATTATTGAAAAGACATTGATATTAGAGAAAAAGTTACTTGAACCAAAAATTATGAATTGTTATTTTTCACCATTTAAACGGAGCATGTTGATGGATAACCGGGAATTTCAGAAATGCACTTTTCAAGGCATAACTTAATAGAGATGGAATCAGTTGGACCAAAGTCAATGTAAAATTTGAATTGGATGTCATCAGCTTAAATATTGTAATTTATATTATGTCGTTTTATATATGTCAGAAATAGGAGAAATGTAGATTGAGAACAAAAGAGGATCAAGCACTGATCCCCGCGGGAGCTTCAACAGAAGATCTTTATTCATTTCAACACATTGTGAACGACCACAGATCTAAGAAGTAAACCATTAATCAGCAATATGTGATATACCAAATCGTGTTGAGATAAGTTGATAGTCAACCGTGTCAAATGCCACCGATAGATCGAGTACGACTAAAGCCACATTTACACGAGACACGATTACGACACGACAACGACATATCATTGTCGTGATATATCATCATTCATCATCCTTGTGTGTTTATATATATATATATATATATATATATATATATATATTATTATTATTATTATTATTATTATTATTATCATTATTATTATTATCATCATTGTGTTTGTATTTTCAGATAAGCCTTAAAATATGGCAGACAATCAGGTTCGTGTAATTCTTTGGAGCGTTCCTCGCACTGTATCCACTGCTTTTGCAAAATGCATGAGTAATCTTGACGATGTACAGGTTATAAACGAACCCTATGTGTGTGCGTATCTCGTAGGCCCAGAAAAGCACAAGAAATCGAGTGAACATCTGCAAGAAATAGAAAAAAATATTCATGGCTAAATCTAATGAAGTGAAGTTAAATTACGATGTCGGCTGGGATACAGACAAAGTTACCTACAAATTTATGAAAGAAAGTGTTTTGGAAGCAAAATACCCGGGTAAGAGGGTAGTTTTTGTCAAAGACATGTCGTATGCCATCACCTGGAAACTACAAATGTTGCCTAAAGGATATCGACATGCATTCTTGATTCGACATCCTGCAAAAGTATTTTCATCTATAAAGAAATGTTACAGCAACCTTTCAAATGAATGTACTCCTGGTAGAGATTTAATACTGGAGAAGAATGATGGCACTCTTGTCCCTGAAAAATACGGATTTGGTGAAAGTTTACAACTTTACGAGCATCTTATCAAAACAGGAATCGATCCTGATCCATTGATCGTAGACACTGATGATCTTCTGGAAAATCCTGAGCTGATTTTGAAGCAGTTCTGTGAACGCACATGTGTTCAGTATACAGATAAATTATTGCAATGGAATGCTGGAGACGGTGTTGTACAAGAATGGAAGGTATCGAAGATGCTTTTACAAGCAAACCAACTATTCGGTTATTATAAAAATGCATTCGATAGTCAGCATTTCCACAAGCCTAATC